TATAATTTATATTTACTTTTATGTATTATGCTTAACGTTTATATTAGAAAAAATTGAATTTGAAATTATTATTTGAACTATAGGAAATGTGAAAATTGATTTATGTACCCAGTTTATTTATTAGTTTGTTACTTGAAGGTAATTATCAGGTAAAGAATTCATTTTATTTGGTTTTAGACATAATTACATTGATCTTTCTGATGCCCACCTTGGCCAAATGTCAGACCATTTCTGCACTTTCTGGTCACTTTCAAACATTAAAAACAAAATCCTCTTTCCATTTACTAGATGCCCTTAACCTCACAGACAATGTCAGATCTATCTCTTACCCTGTCTCAATCAGTCTGCTGTGTCTGGTTCTCTGGGATGTCAAAAAAAAAAAAAAAAAGAAAAAAAAGAAAAGAAAAGGAGAGAGGAGAGAGAAGGGCCCTGGTAAGCATGCTGGTGCCGGCGGAATTTCATGGCCAGCACCCTCTGTGACGAAGGCATCTGAAGCCTGGCCGTCTCTCCTGAGGCACACAGACAGGGTATTCAGTGACACATCTCGAGGATATGAGATCCCTGTTGTTTCTTGACCAGTGGGACCTATTCTTTAGGTGACTGGTTTATGCTCCCTCCCAGAACCACAGGTACAAAATTTCTTTAGCCGTTACTCAACCTGTGGGAAACTCATGTAGCCGCCCCCCTGTCAAAGGCCAGGAACTGCACTTGCCCAGGCCGGGAGCTGCACCTGCCCAGGCCGGGAACTGCGTTTTCCCTCTCCCAGGGTATTTCAGGAAGATCATCCAGGGACCTTTAGAGCTCTCTAAGAAAAAAGGGCAGCAAGCAATTCTAACTACTCCCAAAGGAACTGTTTTGCAATTGAGATGTGAGGCTCTCCTCTTCCAGGAAATCACAGTGTCGGTGCAGATCGACAGTCGGACAGACATGAAGAATATGTATAAAGTCCCATGTTCCTTTCTTCCATTTATCTCTCTAGGTTCCTTGCCTTTCACGTACAGAGGGTGCCAAGAAAAGTGCACACATTTTAAGAAAGGAAAAAGATCTTGATAACATTTGTCATCTTGCATATTGTTGACAGAGTTATAAATAAATAATTATCTCTTGTAATTGCAGAAGTCAAATGTGACTTCAGTATTACAATTTGAATGCAGTCTTTTTCCTTCCTTAAAATGTGTATACATTTTTTTACATCTTCTGTATTTCACTATCTATTGCTGTTATGGAACATATAGGAGAACCCCGGGAAACTACATTGCAGTTGTTACCGAGTTGTATATAAATGGTGAATGAAGTCGGGTTCTCAGGCAAGGCATGTATTCATATTCCTCACCCTTCATGGGCGTTTATTCATGTGAAACTTTATCATCAAAGGACTTGTTTTGATTGAACAGTATAACATCATCAAACGTTTTCCCCTATACCTGCATAATATCAATAAATTTAAACAGGTTAAAAAGTTAAACTTATATAATTTCTAGAACGTTTTTGAAAAATCTTTACTGGATCCAGTAACTATTCAGTATTAACCTATTTTTAAAAATGCATTAATTCCACATTAATATTCAATATCAACCAATAGGACTTCTATGCATGATTGAGTAAAATAGATTGGATTCATTATTACATCATTGAAGAAATATTTATTGGTCATTTGCTTTGTGCTAGAAATTAGGCACTAATAAAGCAATAAGACTGACATTTTTTTACTCACTGAAGGTCACATTCAAAGAAACAAGACAAAAATAATACCAGGTGGATGCGTGATTTGATTCAAAAAACAAGGCAAAGCAAAACCCACAGGAAGTGGAAGGTAGGTGATCACACAGGCAGACGGACTGAGGAAGTAAAATGTAGATGTGTTTGGGGGAAGGTTGTTTTAGTAACTGAGGTGGAGAGTGGCTGGAGGAGAAACAGCAGAAATAAGGAGGTACGGGGAAATACCTGGCCTATGGGTCAAGACAGGAAGTTTACTTATTTATTTATTATTATTTTATTATTATTACTATTTATTTATTTTTTGCAGTTTTGGGCTGGGGCTGGGTTTGAACCCGCCACCTCCAGTATATGGGGCTGGGGCCCTACTCCTTTGAGCCACAGGCACTGCCCAGAAGTCAGTTTATTTTTTGAACGTGCACTGAAGCTGGTGGGATGACTCAGTGCTGGAAAAGAAATAGATGTGTGTGTTCTGGCATCAGCTGTCATAGGCTGCTGTTATTCCCTGAGCAGTCACCTTTTGTTAGGTACGGCTTGTGCTGCTTGCCTTGTATCTTATTATTTATGCTTTATAACAACTATGTGAAATAGATAGATTGCACCTCATTTTAAACTTAGGTCCAAAAAGATTAGGAAGTTCGGCAAAGTTCATTCAGTTATTTGAACAGAAGAGAGCTAATGTGCGACTCAGGCCATAGGCTGAGTGAACTACCATTGCAGATATTTCCTGATTCTTATACAGAGTAAAGGACTTTCAATATTTTCTTATTTCTACCATTAGTCATTTATAGCTTGAATATAAATCCATGAGGCCACTAAGGGAATATTTAAGTACTGTGGGTAATAATGTGAAACTGTGCTATTTTCATAATTACCTGCATTAATTTAGACTATGTTGAAATTTACAAAAAATTTATGATGTAATGCCCTTAGCTTAGGAGACAGCTCTGTTCTTGCAACTATCCTTAGGACTGGAAAGAAGACAGAACAGCTATTGATATGTTACAAAGTATACTTTCAAGGAAATTGCAACTTCTCTACTAGAATCAGACAGTTTTTTTGATATGGTTAAAAGGAATCATTTTAAGACCAGTAAATAGATATACAATCCCATATGTGCTTTTCCTATATATCTTAGGATTGGCAGTCTTATAATTAACTAAACCCAAATCTATTTAACACATCTGCTAAGTGTCACTGGACACAAGTATTAAAATGATGGGTACTAGTGTTGCATCAGTGTTCATTTTTATAAGTTGTTTATTCCTTTTTACATGTTTCTGAAGCTTTCGTCCATCCACAGATTTTGCTGTGATCCCCAGAAAGCCCCATTTCCTTTTTTCTAATCTATTTCCCATGAAGTTTTTCATCTGCTGTTTACCGTACTACACAGTTATTCAGCCAAGATTACACCACACTCTTTATGAAATACAGAGAGGAACACTTCATGAATCATTTTGGAAATTTTTCCTCACTCTGCTCTTTCATCTTTTATACCAATATTAAATAAATGTATAAATTTTCCCTCAAAATGCTCATTGTATTGTACTCGCAAGGTTTTATTGTTTTTCATTTTCTTTTGTTTAGTAGTTTTACTCCTTTACAACTTAGTAATGATATTAGTGCATAAAGATTTACCGTATTTTATGTCCTTTCATCTACTTTTAATATCTTCCTAAATTGTTGGATTCTAATTCTGATTTTCTCGTGTTTGGTAAAGTAACAATATTTATGTCATCAGTGCAATGGTGCCTGGCTCATATTGATGAAAAACTAGATATTTAAGCTTCCAAGTACAGAGAAAAAGTAACCATTCAACTACTCTGTAGTTTAAAATTACTCAAAATATTTGATAGAAGCATAGATAACCAATTGGCTTTGACTCAGTCCCACATGCCATTAGTAAAATATGATCATATAGGAATGGTGCCTGTGGCTCAAGGAGTAGGGTGCCTGCCCCATATACTGGAGGTTGTGGGTTCAAACCCAGCCCCAGCTTAAAAAAAAAAAAAAGATTATATAAACCAACTACTTTCTCTTTGTTCATAAATTTTGAAGCACACCTTGATTTGGATATAATAATAAATATCATTCTTAAAAGGTTGATTCACATTAAAGCGTTTTATTATATTATTACCAAATGTTACCATAAAGCTTTCTGTCCAACAGCTTAGCATTTATTTTGTTCATAAGGCTATAATAAAAGTAACTATTGCACCTAATTTTATAGTCAATAATAAAGAAATGACACATGTAAGAATCAGTCATATTTGAAGCTCTTAAAAAAAAAAGATGATGTGGATGAATGCAGAGTGTTTTATTCTGTGTATGGTAAGAGGCAGTCAGTGGATGACAACCCTCAGAGTGAATAACTGGAGTTGGAATAAGCATTCCTTTAATGTACCTAAATAATTTGTAGTAGAAATAAAAATTCACTTAAATGTTTCACGCTTTCTACCAGTTTCATAAAGTTTAAATTTAATTATGAGTAAATATTGACATAAATTTTGCCACTGCATTTTGACAAGATAAAAATATATTTTACATTTCATATGAAAATAATCTAGCTATAATATTCAAAAATACAAATTTATATACTGTGTAACTCTGGTTAATTAAGACATATCAAATACCTGTCTAAACTTGAAATCAGTTTTAAAGTGTGGTCTTGGCAAAGATTTTAAATAGCAGACTAGAATGAATCAGGGAATCTTAGAAAGCTGCTTATCACACAAATAAAATGTTTTTAAACTTTCGTGTAATCAACCAGATTCTCCTAAGTCTTAAAGTTTGTCTCTCTATAGGATCAGGAACTTAAGATGCATAAACATTTTACTCTCACTTTCTAAAAGTAAAAATAACAAAGAAGAGGTATTATAAATAAAATAAGCTAAGATGGTCTAATTCTGTGCGTTTATCACACTAGCCACTCAGAAATTTTGAGTATTTTCATTAGACAATACTGAAAAATGCTACAGGAATCTTTGGGTAGCGCGCTGGAGTTGCTCTACGTTGACAGCGCACTGGTGACACCTCTTCCCACATCCAAGTTCAAGGACAACGTGTGTAACTTAAAACAATCAAGGGGTGTTTACTCCAAGGAAATTAGAAAACTCCACACTTGATCTTAGCCAAAAGGTCGAGAAGCGATAAGGAAATCAGAAAAATCTATGAACTAAAGCATTTTTCTCCCTTCAGAGAAGCAAAACACACAATTCTTTCCAAGAGATTACAACTGGGCCCAAATATGTGTTACCATGTTTTACCTTTTAATGGTGAAAAGCCTAATGATTTGTCTGCATCGTGGAGCTGAACATGCACGCTAATCTTTTGAAGCGAGGTCCCAGCTCTTTAAGGTAATCATAGTTTTCATCCTGGTCAGAGACTGCTGACCCCAAGGAGCTCAGGGACCCAGCTAAGGACCCGGTTCCCTCAAAAGCATAGGTCTGCAGGGAGTCAAAGGGAGGGGCACAGGGATCAGCGTTGGCTTCTTCCAGCTTTTCTAGAATGAACTTTCTGAAGACGGCGCTGTCTGGGCCCACCTGCAGAGACTGCCTGTACAGGCTGCGGACCTCCGCCCTGGGGGCTCTCCGGGTCCTGTGTCCCCGCAGCACCGGGCGACTCCTCAGCTCCGCAATATCGAACGCTTCCGTATCCGCCTCTCCACCACCTTCATCGTCATATCTGAATATATTCTCCCTGAAATCTTCACTTTTCTCAGGAAATAGAGTCTGTTTTTTTCGTTGTTTTAGACACAAGACGAAGAAAATAAACCCTGACCGAAAAAGCATATCAGAATATTAATTAATGCAGAAAGTTTATCGTCAGCATCGCCGCCCTCGCTTCTGCTACAGGCTCAAGACAGAAGCTTCTATTTTATAACTATGACACAAAAAGACACATTGGTGGTGGCATGCTTACAAAAAGACCCTCAAAATGACGGAAGGAGGTCTCACAGCCTTTCTGGCTGAGGACTTAGAGGAGTAACATTGGAACAATTCAGGGAACTGGTTTTGATGATAATCCATTTAATTTAATGATTTAATTTCTGTCTAAACTATAGAAATAGAACAAAGTAGGTAATGGGACATTTTCCAATCGGAATCCCCTTGTCAACCCCAGGAGCCCACTGTCACCCGTGCTGTTCAGGTTTAGAACAATGGAAGAGGCCAAATTCAGCAGCAGAATTATTTCCTGAGTTAATAGTTTTGACTACAAAGTATGTGTCAGGAACCATTCTAAAAGCTATGCCTCTTCATTGATTTATTTTCTTCTTATGAAACACACACATCATCATATCCTATGAAAGATGAGAAAACCGAAGCCCAAAGATGTCAAATCACATTCCCACAAAGACACAGCCTGATAACACAGACAGTGGAACGCTATTCCGCTACAAAGCAGAGTGAGGTCCTGTCATTTGTGGGAACCCAGATGAACCTGGAGGACATTAGGTTAAATGGAATAAGCCGGGCATAGAAAGACAAGCACTGAATGGTCTCATTCACATGTGGAATCGAAAACAGTTGATATTTTAGAAACGTACAGCAGACCAGTGATTACCCAGTCTGGGGAGGGTGAGGCACACAGCGTGGGGGGGGGGTTGGCCAGTAGGGACAAAGTTATACCTCAGCGGGAGGAATAAATTCAGGGGTAATATTAAATCTAGGGTGACCATAAATAATAATAGTTTATGATACATTTTAAAATAGCTAGAAGAGAGTATTTTGCACTTTATCACTATGAAAAGATGATAAATGTTTAAAAGTGATGGGCATATTAGACCCCCTGATCTGATCATTACATAATGTGCACATATGCTCAAACATCACACGGGGACCCTGTGATATGACAGTCACTGTGTGTCACTATAAATAAAATAAAATTGAACAAAATAGCCTAGAGCAGAAAGTTGGTTCCTACCTTGTGCTCTGTGATATAAAGTAATCAAATTATCAGGTATGTGAATCATAATGCTAGTTTGTCCAGAATTGATATTTATGACATGAGATAATTTCAGCATCATGTGGAGACAGGAAAATGACAGAACACTTCTTTTTTATGTAAAAGAAAACTATGTGTGTCTTTTTTTGAGTGTGAGTGTTTACTGGTATGTGTGAAGGTTACCCAACCCTTACTCAAACTAGGATCTTATGTAGCTACTCTTAATTTACATATAGGATTTGAAACAGACATAAAGTAATGTTATAAATACTATTGAAAAGAGTTACATTAGACATATATTAATATTAATAATATTTTATATAAAACTTAGAGTTTAAACACTGGGAGTAGGGCACTCTTGAAATAAATAAGGTCACCATGTTTGAATCCAGGTACTGAACTTTAAAACTCATATTCAGGTTGGCCATAAAGTTCACATGCAATTAAAAATAGTTTAACATAGTAAATTGCACAAAACTTTATGTCCATCCATTAATATGCATCTCTATGGCTGACATAAAAAGGGTCCAATAAATAAGATTCCAATAACTTTCAAAGGAAATTACTGGCTAGTGGCTGCTCCATATTAACACCTGCTAAGTGTAACTAACCCCACAACGGTGAAGCCACCCCAGGTGTATGAGAGCTCGCTGTAGGTCTACATGTCCTCTGCATATGACTTATACCATTATTACTGCTTTCTGCTTCCAGTATCTGGCTACCTAGCTTTGAATTTTATGGTCAAAGACCATGAAAAATGCTCGAAAAAATAAAGCATGATCCGAAAGAATGGGAATGTTAATTGGCAAAAGAATGGATAGTTTGTGAAGCTTTGAGGAAGATGAGGAGTGTTGGCAAAGCAAGTCCTGAAACGTGTCAGTTTGGAATCTGGAGCTGTTGCTGATACAGTGGCTCTTGATAGACAATATTGTGTTGGCTTTTCCTGTGAACTTACTAGGTAAGCAAGAGCACGGTTTAGATTACATATGCAGCTGGTAAAAAAGTGAACAGTTTATACTAGATGAATCATTTGTAACCTTAAAAGCCTGATAGAGACATTCTGGGGTTCCGCTGTCTCATCTGTGGAATGATGAGATGTCTCATCTCTACTTATGAAAATAATAATAAAAACAACAAGCAAACGAGGAAAAAAACATGAAGCTGCTTTACTGAGATTTCTGACTCTCTCATTTACTCCTGGATCTTAACATGTATTGGCATTTTTATTCACAAAAAGATTTTTAATAAAATTATTTGTATTGTTTAATTGAAAAATAATAATTTTCTATTTATGGTGAATAATTTGATGCTTTGATTATGTATATACATTGTGCAATGATTATATCAATTTAATTCATATGTGCATCACGTCACATACTTAAAAATGGAATTAGGGGAGGCACCTGTGGCTCAAAGGAGTAGGGCACTGGCCCCATATACCGGAGGTGCAGGTTCAAACCCAGCCCTGGCCAAAAACTGCCCCCAAAACAAATAAATAAATAAATATAAATAAATGGAATTAGTAAGCTGGAGATCTGCCCTCCCGTGTCCAATGCAGCATTGTTCGCAGTAGCCAAACGGCATCCACCTGTGTCCATGATGGTCAAATGGATGAGGGAACACAGCATCTGTGTCCGTGCAATGCTGCTTAGCCCCAAAGAGAAGGAATCCTGTCATTTGTAACAACATCGATGTACCTAAAGCACAATGTGCCAAAGGAAAGAAGCCAGGCACAGGAGGAAGAGTACTACATGAGCTCACTTATGTGCCAAATCTAAAAAAATCCACCTTGTACATATAAGCTGAAGGCTGAATGGTAGTTAGCAGACTCGGGGAGCAGATGTATGCAGAGAGGTTCAAAGAACACAAAGTCTAAGTTAGACATTAGGAATAAGTTTAAAATACTATTGTACAACTTAGTGACATGTATAGTTGATAAATATACTGTTTACTTAAGTAATTTCATATTGTATATCAAAGCAGTACCTTGGACCCCTAAATGCATCAATATAGAAAGTTATGATTTAATAAAAAGTCATTAATTATAAAAAAAAAAAAAACTATTGCTAAGAAAGCAGACTGTACTGCACTGTGTGTGTGTTTTTCTCCTAGGGTCTATTCAGCTAAAGCATAGTAGTGTGTTGTGGTTATGTCATCTTAGCCCATAATTTTCTAGCTGCGCGACTCTTGGTAAAGCATATAATTTTTGAGTTTTTAAAGGTTTTTTCATTTATGCAAAGTACATGCTACTTTATAAGGTTATTTTGAAGATCAAATTGCATAAAGCGTAAGAACGCTGAAGACCGTCTCTTGGAGGATAATAAGCACTCAACAGAAGCTCCTCATGTCATCACTAAGCTTTACACATCTTCTGTCTTTTGAAATGCACATGTGTCGTTGCATGCATGAAGAGAGGCACACATGTACAGACTCATTCTGTAGGTGTAAGTTACTCATACAACTTCAGGGTCATTGATTTGCAGCTCGAAATGCAAGTTGATCCATTCAATTTTTCATATACTCCATGTGATATAAGAATTGTATTATACTCAGAGGATCAATAAGGGCACACACATAAACCCACACTATTCTGCTGTAATAGGATTAACTATTTTATATATTATGTTCTTTTAAATAAGTGAGTATACGTTCACTTCCTCACTACTTACCAAATATTGCCATAATGCAGACAAGAATAGCAATTATAACTTCCATCTTGAATCCCATGAAAAGCATAAGTTCCTTATTCCTACAGAGCTGTGTATCCCCTTTTTGGTCACAATCGCAGATGTATACGGTAAGAGTGTTTGTACTTGTAAGTGATGGGGTTCCATTGTCAGCAATTAAGATGGATACAAAGAAGATGGGCTCTTCTTGCAGGCTGAACCCCGTTCTGTTAGTCAAAATTGTAGCCGTATTATCTAAAACAGAAATCCATGTGTGTAATTTTTTTCAACAATTTTAAAGAAAGTCACGTCGTATGAACTAGAGATAGTAAGTAGTAGAGATATGATCAAATAAGCTCAGATAAAAAGAAAAGGAAATTTCCAATAAACCATCTAATTATGATTACTTAATATGATTAAATATGGAACTGATATTGAATAATGTGATTATTTAAATTACCAGTTGAATTATTTCATTATTTATGGTATTATTGAGCTATTTAAATGAATTCCAAATGTCTTTGACAAAGAAAGGAAGGATATAAGTGTAACACAGAAAAAAAAACAACAGATTTTTAATCAGATTATCAATATTTATAGGGGCTACTAGCATTACATTTATATGAATAGAGCTAGTTTCCTTGGGCTTAATTACAGAAAAAAACAGTGCATATTCTAATACCCGGAGCTCATTGTTTTTACAAATTTTGGAAATACATAAGATTTTCAAAGTTACCTGACACAGCCTGTGATTTCAGTACTTTTTTTTTTTTTTTTT